ACTCGAGTATGGGCCGAGTCCAAATAATTTCCGAGTACTGATAGTTGAGTACGAGCTGAGTACTTGCGTGTACTCCAGTTGTACTCGAGTACGAGTACGAGTACTCCAACACTGGCAAGTACCCATTTGAGTAAAACTGAAATGTTGATCGTGAGGAAAATGTGGACTGCGGATGATTTTGTTTCTCTATTTTGTTTGGTGGGGGGGGGGGGGGATTCGTCCAACCCCCTGACCTCCCTGCCTATGGGCTTGCTCTACCTATCACAAACAGTACTGCGTTGGCAATGGTACCCTTTATCCATGAGGGCCTGTATACATGTTCAAAATCTTCATAATAATTGTATAAACTCGTACTTTTGGGTTACAGAGATGTGAAACATCGGCCCACCGATAACGTCCCATCATCATCATCAGACGCGTCCGGCTCCAGCTACCATGAGATCAGCCTCAGCACCCACGACCCTAACCCGGCCCACTGGAACTCGGAGGTGGTCATCGTTGACCGCTCACGGATGACCTCGGCCCATGAGCAGCTTTACGAGTTACGCCAGAGGGAGGAAGAAGAAGAAGAAGAAGAGGAAGAGCTGGACTCTATAGAGGCAACACAGAGACTCCTCCCATTGCCCCAGTCACATGTGGGTCATTCCATAAATTTCAGGTCCAAAGTCTGCCAGTTTTTCCCTCCCTGGTAGCTTGGTACTTTGTAACGTGCCATTCAAGTATCATTAGAATGACTTCAAACCATTTCTGTTATACAGGTAGTTTGCTTTTCATAATAGCTCTTGGAGCTATTATGAGTGCATCTATAAGTGCATTTATGAGTGCATCAGAATTGTAATATGGATGTCAGATGTAAAAGGGATGGGGAAAAAAAGTGGACCCCAGATTGTTGAATGACCCATGTAGCCTGTTCCTTTATTAACACCTGCTCTCTTTCCACTGTCTCCAAAGAAATCAAGTGACTGTCCTTAACCTTCGCCTTAGACTGATGGGTCTCCTATACCCTAGGTCCTCCCTCTACTGAGACTGCAACCACTTCAGTGGGCAGTAAGCTTGCTCTAGGATCCCAGCCACTTGGCATCCACACAGGATGCAACTTCACTCTTCATCGCTTTCGCTTCTGCTACATAAGTGTTTCCCTTCTTAGAGTTTAGGCATTCTCCTGAAGACGGTCAGAGCATACTGACCGGAACGTCGAGTTTATACCTCTGGTTCTTTTCAGAACCATTCTCTTAGTTGAGAAATTATTCGCACATGGTGTTTCCGCAAACCTTTCATTATTTAGTATCGCCACCGTGCAAAGCCTCGAATCTTACTCGTGTTGTAGTCAAGTCCATCACAAGTCTGCTGATAGATCAATTACAAGTCCAGTCACTAGTAACAGCTGGGTGTATAACAGGAATACCTTTGTCACAGTTCACTTGAATAGCTTGTGACTTGACACTGGATGACTTGTTATCGACTTGCGACGGACTTGTAAGGACTTGCGATGGACTAGAGACAACAATCCGGTTCGTTAGTAAAAATGCCATACACGCCCGCGCACCACTGATTACTAGCGCCCATTGGATAAACACTCAAGTTGCGTCAACTTCCGGTTCCAATGGTTCCAATGCTACTTAATGGCCAGTGGGCGTGGTTTAAACTGAAGGGACGTCACACTAACAAACGGGATACAAGTCTGTGCACTCAATTCTTATGCAGAGCCCGTCATGTGGGTGGTTTTAAACAGTTGTTAAAACATGTTTTATACACCTTTTTTTCCGGTGTCACATACAATTTTTATTCCTGTGAAATCTGATCCCTTTTACTCTTTTTTTGGTGAACCCTCTCACGTTACTAGTCACTCACCTAATTATCTTCACTTAGACATGTATCCGCAATACTTACCATTGAGTCCGTATTTCATAGGCCTAAATATCACACTACACAGGCACTGCTGCTTTCTGCACCACATCACGCAGTACATGACAAGCATGCGCTAATGATTTTTAGAGGGGTGTTTTACAAAACACAAAGTAAAATTGTTGAACAATATTTTTGGAAATTAATAATGTTTAACTTGTTTTGACTTTTTGACTTTTTGAAAGTATTTATGAATGGGAATAAATATGTGCTTGGCCGGTATAAAACAAGTACATGAATGTTAAAAACCAGCACGGTGGTCCGGTCACTGATAATGACCCTCAGCTTCAGCTTGGTTGTTTTAAACGTACTTTTTTAATTGGTCAAGCACATACAAATGTACTTACTCCCTAGTTATAATACACGGAGGGGTGTAACTATCTTATGCAGCTGCTACGGCTCATTGCACATACATGTATGTGCTTCACCGACAGCTGCGAGTACATGTAGGTCACAGAGTGCAATCGACAGTTTGTGCACAGACCATGGCCCGACTTCAAGGCGCTGCTAAGCACAAAAATTTGCTTAGCAAAATTTGAGCTTTATTTTCCACGTTGTTTTTACCATATACGACCAAGATCTTGTAGTTTAGGAATATTTTGAAACAATTTCAACATGTCTCTACAATTATTAGAAATCTGCCTCTGAAAAAGTGTGGACTTTATTTTGGACCACTCTGTATTAACCCCTTCCGGCCTGCAAATCAAAAAGCGCGCACTGACCAGTTAGATCACAGATTTTGATCAGATGACCACGGTATACTTCGGTTAAACTTGGTCACAAGCACTGTGAGAAATGCACACCGACCAAAGATGGGCAGGACTTATGGGGAGATCCAGAACGGTCCATTGTGAATCTCATAAACACTCGGTCGGACATCTGGTCTCTATTTTTTAAATTGATTAATGTCCATTTCTTGTTTGCAGGGATTGCCGAAGGTCAAGCGAACAGCCTCCCTGACTGCTCTGAGGGATGGCCAGCAGGGGACCCTGGGGGAACTGGACAGTGATGAAAGCCAACCCAAAGAAGGTACATTGTATGATAATATTCAGGGCGTATCCCCCCCCCCCCAAAAAAAAAGGAAACCCAGATGTAAATATACATTATATAAAATCTAATGAATATTTTCAAATAAGTTAACGATCTTGTGAAACTTTGTGTCCTCTTGCCAATGATACCTTGATTGTGTGTGTGTGTGGCCACTGATGACTGAGCATTCATTGTTATTCTGTCAAGCAGTGGCGCACCCAGGGGGGGGGGGGGGGGCCTCAGGGGACTTGGGCCCCCCAGAGGAATTTTTTACATTTAAAAAAAAAAAAAATTTTAGTCCCTCAATTTGACCTTGGTGATATGTATGTGGCCAATTTGTGAGTAGTATAATAGGGGTGTAAGTGGCGCTGCCGTCAAAATAGTCCGACCCGCCACTTCCCCCCATCTAAAACGGAAATATTCATAAAACTGTAAGTAAAAGTACTCCTTATTTAAGATTTAATTCTTCCAATTTTTTTTAAAAATAAATACTTCAGGATATAACAGATGGTATTGTGCAATTTTTGTCGTCATAGATGAAGTATTTACCCGGAAAATAAATGTCAAATTTCGAGAAGAACACCGTTAACCCAAATTTTGTTATTAATTAGGCTTTTATTAAAAAGTTTTAGAGAGATAAGATGCCGAACCGATGAAACAAAAGCGACATTTCATTGTTCATCTTAAAGCTAAAGATATTGTGCTCGGCATTACCATGGTTATGTAGTTATCACTTATCAGAATTCAATAATAAAGACCAAAAACGTAGACTCATGAATATTCAAAATATAATTCGTTGGCTTGACAGACTTTGAGGCCAGATCGGGCGTAGAGCCTTGCAAATATGAAAGCCACCACGCGCAGTGGTCTTTGTTGGAAAGTATTCATGGTATTTGCCACCAGTACAGGCCGTTATCACGCGTCTAACCAGGAGTTTGGCCGAGTCGTTAATCCTTGTGTGTAGGATCCGTGTTTGAATTAAGCCGTTCCACATGCCCAGAATACCAGTTACCCTTTTGCACAAACTTGGCCCAGAACAGGTTTTGACCCGTGACAGAATAATAACGAATGCTCAGTCATCCGTGGCCACAGACACACAATCAAGGTATCATTGGAAAGAGGACACATTGGTGTTTTACATGATCTTTAGCTTTTTGAAAATATGTATTACCTTTTTTATAATGTACATTTACATCTGGGTTTCCATTTTTGATGAAATTTGAATCTACAAAAAAATATACTTTGGCTTCAACACAGAAATTGATTTGAGCATATTTTAACCTGCAACCTTCAGAATGTGTACCCTTCAGGCTACACATATGTATCCAGCCCCATTAGCCTTTTTGAAGCAAGGCAGACACAGTAGGGGGTGCTATTTTGAGTTGTAACTCTTTTGCATTTACTCAAATTTACCCACTTCAAATCCGCTCGTACCCGCCGCCCTTAAACAGGGCGCTGGGAAGGGCTAATTTTTTTCATATGACGTCACATTGATTAAACGTGCATTTTCCAAGTCCTTCCGATGTGGTTGGAAAGTGGTATTTACATGTACCTAGAACAGAATATGTTATTGGTGAAAATTGAAGTGCCATCATGATGACATCATCACAAATCATGTGACGTCACAGTGAAGGTGCATTTCCAAATGTCTTTATCTACATAACTTGGTTGTAACTTGGTAGGTACCTAGACCAGGATGTATTATCGGTTATAGATAAAACTTTAAGTGATGTCATGATGACGTCATCACATGTCACAGAGTCATATCAAACAGCCGAAACGGCTGTGCACGTGACAAACAGATTTCTAGTTTCAAGTTGAGCCTTTTCAGGTTCACCTTTTATTTATAGAACCTCTTATTCTATACCATTCAGCGAAAGTGTCCGTGCAAGGTGGTAAGCCTATAGAATGTGCAGGCGGTACCCTCATGTGTACCTGGCACTGTGAGTTATTGAAAGGATACTGATTTTTATGAGAGGTTTGTCTTTATGAATACATTGTAAAAACAAAACCTCTGCTGGCTGTTAATACTTAAACCAAGGTTACTCGTTTATGTACTTGTATCGTACATTGACATGCAGATGGGACTGTATATGTACAGTAATGTTAGAGGCAGCACTGCCGGCATATTTGTACACAAGTAATTGATCCAAACAAATATCACGCGAGCGGCGTGCCGATTCGATTCAGCCAGATGCTGGCACTGGTTGTGCGTATTTGTTGCAGATTGCAGCTAGGACAACAGCGTTAGGTGCAGCTGGCGATGATGTGGCGTGTAACACGTTCGGAATGATGCTATCACTACCAGCTTAATTTAACACTGTGTTATGTTTAATGATCGGTACATGGTTGACTCGAGTGCGCTACAATGGAGTGAATTGGATACTAAGACAGCAGTACTCCAACAGTGGATTTTATAGTTCCAGCTTTGAATTGTCTTTCACTTGGTTAGGTGGTTTCTGTCGATCTATGAGAAGTGCAAAGTTTGCTGTGATGTTTTCGGACTAAAAAGACTGCCGGGATGTTTTTGCTGATGCTCCCAGTGGATTTGTAAAAATCTTGGCTCTTACTCGCAAGTTGCTTCGGTGGAATTTACAAATACATGCATCTGATTAGGGACCTGTACGTCTCTGAGCCACCTCTCCAAAACTTGAAATCTGCATCAAAACTTCTCCGTCCAGGGCTGTGTTGAAATTCAAAAAAATGGCTGACAAGACAGAGACTACAAATCGGCAGGAACCGTCTAATGCAACGCCGTTATTGCTGGAATCTGGAAAGACCTCTAACTCTATGGAGTATACTGCTGATGCTCCGGTGACCCAGTTTGACCTAGGTGAAACTGTTATTATATAGGCCTTATTATTATGTTTTTGTCAGAGCCACCGAAACTATTTTTCCATGCCACGTTTGTGTGTAGATAACATTAATAAACAGTGCTGTGTATGTGTCATTTACAAATTTAGGGTCCACTGTTTTTCCTGCCCCTGTTACATTTGACAGCGATGATTTTTTAAACTCTTTTATGCAGTCGTCCTCCAAGAATGTTTAAGAATAACAAACTACCTACCTTACAAATAAAAAATCTTTTGAAGTCATTCTCAAGGATGCTTGAATGGCAATTTAAATTACAAAATACCAGGGTAACAGGGACAGGAACAAGTTTACAGTTTTTAAACAAAATATTTAGAATGACATTTTTGTGTGTGGTGCATTATCCAGTAAACATGGTAAAGATACATGTAGAAGAGTAAAGTGTCATGAATGTGAAACCTGCTAGACCTTTAGACAGAGAGTGACCAAAAATGACTGAAATAACAAGAGTAAGCAAAGCACCACTGCATTCTGCGCCACATTGCACAGTACTCCCTGCGTGCGTGCACCAATCTCCATATAAGGAGATTTTTAGCAGTACGCACACGAGGCACATATCATAGACATGGCCAGAGGGATGTTTCACAAAACATAAAGTAAACTGTTGAACAAAATCTTAGGAATTTTGTCGATTTTTGAAGAGAAGGTATTTATGAATGGGAATAGCTACGGTATGTGCTTGGCCGGTGTTAAAGCTATAGTCCATCATTTGCAGCCATCCGAAAAGTAACTGGCGTAATTATTGTTAAAAAACATACTTGGTTAAAAGATAGTTAGTGGACTAAACTCCCTGTGAAATTATTCTTTCTGGCAAGCTGTCATTTTGAAGTAATCAACGAAAGAAGGTCTTTCCAACGACGCACCGTAGGAAAATTTAAATTAGTAGTTCGTTTTGTTATTCGGCGAAGGGCGCGCAAGCATTGGCACGACGCACACGCGCGACATCATGTAGCTGCAATTCAGGCCCAATTCAAAACATGATTCAGCAACTTTGGATTTGAAATTGAGATCCTAGAATGCTGTTTTTCTCAGAATATACAGCAGAAGCTGGGCTGAAACTTCATCAGGTTAGTTGTTCAGTATCCTTCATTAGATTTTGAACGCTTTTGTTGCTTCAAAAGAACAAAATGCACAAATTACAAATGATGGACTATATCTTTAAACAAGTACGTGTGAAACGAGCCAGGGAGCTGGTCGTGGATTATCGGGTATTTCCGTGTCCAGGCCCCTAGCCAAGCACATATTTCTTCACTTAATAGTTATTGCATTAATACCTGATACGAATAAAAATAAATTCATGTATTATTTGATTGAATGTTTCAAAATGTTTAAGATATAATGTACAAACAGTGAAAAAAAAAACAGGTGTATATATCATACTGTCAAAGACAAGTGCCCAGCTATAACCACACCGCTCTTTAGACATCACTGGCCAGTACTCAGAGGTCAATCTACAGGGTGACCCCAAAAAAGGAAGTGCAAATAGGACTGAAGGCTGGGAACAGCAAAAAAACATGTTTGTCTGGGTTTCATTTCATGAAATACATGTGCAGTATTGTTGGATATCATCTGTTGTTCATCAACAGGTTGAAATATAATGCAGCCGTTTTTATCTATAAACTGGTAGTACATGTATGTGATTTATGTTGTATTTTCTGCTGGTATTGATTTTCACTCTGGCCATCTGTTGTGGAGGACTGAAGCATTATGTACTTGTACGGGTCAGTTTATTGTGCAGTTTTCTGATTTATGCTGAAAGACCATAGTAATTAGGCTATAGTAAGTAAAGTGATTTGCATCTGTACTGTACAATGATGTCATTTGGTTGAAAGCTAATTAGGTTATGTAGATTTATGTACTGTACATGTTCGTGTACGTGTGTATAATGCAGTATTTCATTCATTCATGTATTCTGGTGTATATTCAAGGTAAAAGCAGCTCAGTTATTCAAACTGTTTTCCACTGGTTGCCAACAAGGTTTAAAAAAAAAAAGCAAAAGTGCAAAGTAAATAGAATTGCCAAATAATCCAATTTACTGATGTTTGGTAACCGGACTCGATCGAGTACCACTTGTATACCATTTTGACAGCCCCCTTTCTTGGACTTGAATATCCAATGCTTTTGATTCAGATTTGCAGTATTTGTACTTCAGATGTCAAAGTTAATTGCGCGTTGGACTTGAAATTGTCGAGTTGCTCACTCAAGTACTTGTCTTTAAAATGAGTCGTCGTTTTTTTGGGAAAAAACAGACTGGTAGAAACTGAAGATGAATTGGACATCCCCAAATCTAAATGGTGGATTTCGGTTTAGCACCATGTAAGGTAATTGTGGGCAGGCTAATCTTTATGAAATCCATAAACAGACAACCAAACGTGTTGATTTTATTGATTTGGGTTATTAATAGAGGAATGCATTTGTTCCAACTTTAGTTTCAATATGCACATACAGAACATGCATGTGGGTGTAGCGTACGTGTAATTTTCTGTATTTGTTAAATTATGTGAAATTTCTCTTGATTTTTGGGGAAAGCCCACAAAAACCATGAGGAATTATGTTGAATGGAGTGCCTGTCATATGGCTCCCAATTTTTTTTGATATTAAGTTATGTGGGTCAAATGTGAGTCTGTTTCAGAATATGAATACCGTTATTTCCAATTGTAAGATGACGTCATTGCTTCCGTAATGAATGTGAAATTGCTTACAAGCATAAAACCAAAAGGTCCTGAGTACACTTAGAAATGGCAAATCTATTGTAAAGGCAAATTCGTCGGGTGCCCGGCAGAAGGGCATATGAGCGTTCTGACGCAAAAATCATTTTCATGAAAATTGCATTGAATGGTTCCGTTGCTCCCCCGCGTGTATTATGAATCCAATGTTCTCCCACTCATAAAATAAATCGTAGGAATTTGAAATTTGTCACACGTATGAATCATAAGTTTTGGAACAAATGGTAGTAATTTCTGACAAAAAAGTTTAAATTTCATTAAAATAGAGGCAGTTTTCTGCATATGCCCTTTTGCTGGGAACATTTTGGTCATTACGCGCTGTTGCATATTGGGCATATGCACATATGCCCTTCTGCCGGGCACACGACGAATTATGACTTTTTTTGGTGGTGACCGTACAATGTTTTTTTATTTGCCTCTGCAGAAGAATACACGCTGGAAGATGCCATCGAGCAGATCGGCTTTGGAAGATTTCAAATGAAGATCTCAGTCCTTACCGGCCTGTGCTGGGTAAGTTTTCCACCCTCCATGTTAGGTAGCTTAAGACCAACCCCAAACCCATCACTCTCCACTTCTAAAGATGTAAAATAGTAATGTTCAAGATGTGTTCACCAACCACTTTTTCTCCCAAAATTTGAAGCAACATACCCCCCCCCCCCCCATTTTTCCTTCCTTTTAAAAGTTGTGTTTAAACGTCGGTGAAGGGCAAAACCTAATTTGATTTATATCACCCCGACGCAGAAATTCCATCTGATAATCTTTTAAAAGTTGCTTGTTTTTAGTTATTCATATTTTGGGGGACAAGGGATTGAGGAGAAGATAAAGCCAAAACAGTTTAAAACTGACCGAGACTCATAATAACTGAGTTCCCACAAAACCGGATCCAGAACACAATTTATTTATTTATTTTTTTTGGGGGGGGGGAACATTTTTTAGTTCCCCAAAAAAATGTTCAGCCCCAAATTTAATATGAAAAGCAAGGGGAAGGGGTGCGGATGTTTTGCTTTTGTTGACATGGTTAAGTTTGCGACGTTTTGCCCCCCAGTCCCCCCCCCCCCCCCTTGATCTGCCGTTGGGTTTCCATAGTCGTAGGAAAATCATGGAAAGTCGTGGAAAAGTCATGGAATTTTATTTATGTTACAACTACCGGTTGTCATGAAAGTTCATATTCCTTGGAAAAATGTCATGGGAAAAGTAACGGAATCCTACACAACCCATACTTGTATTTGTGTAATATTTGGCTATTGAAGCCTTCCAGTTGCATTTCAGTTTACTATACTACCTGTGCTCTAAATTCATATTTCTCTATTGTGGTCAGATGGCAGATGCATTTGAGATCATGCTGCTGAGCATCCTGGCACCAGCTCTGCTGTGTCGCTGGCATCTGTCGCGATGGGAGGAGGCGTTCATCACAACGGTGGTGTTCGTCGGCTACCTGATCAGTTCACCGCTCTGGGGCAAATTCTGCGATAAATATGGCCGGAGAAAAGTAGGTTTAAATTATTTTGTTCATGTTGTCAACCTGGGAGATGCCAGCACTGGTCTGGATCGTTGCCAAAGACTAACCAAATTATTCAAACCCTGCTCCAGTTTATGTCTTTGTTCAACTTCAACAAAAAATTATCATGATGCAGTTTCCTTTTGTGGTTTATTTGGAAATATGTAATAAAAAAGCTGTTTCTTCTTTGACTGATCCCTATTTGCAACTCCCTCCCCCCCCCTTCCCCGGCCCCATTTTGATCAGCACCTCACAACAGCTTCTAACAGCTAATACCCTCGCCTGTTTTTGTCTCGCCTGAACGAAGTTCAGCAAAGAGACCATGCAATCACTATGTCGTTACGTATGTCCGTCCATATAATTATGTCCGTATGTACCGGTATGTATGTGGTATTTTGGTTAAAGTTTTAAAAATCGGTCTCATTTGAAAAGTCCTATTGGAACCAAATTTGGGTCAAAGATGCAACATGGCAACCTGCATATGATGTCAAAGGTCACATACCGAGGTCAAGGTCATCTGGACAAGTTGTAAAATAGCCTGAAAATGTAAAGTTGGCCTCATTTGAAAGTTGAAGTCCAATTGGAACCAAACTTGATTCATAGATGCAGCATGGGAACCTTCATTGATCATGATGTCAAAGGTCACATACCAAGATCAAAGGTCATCTGATTTCAAGTTGAAAACTAGGCTGAAAATGTAAAATTGGTCTCATTTGAACAGTTTAAGTCCGATAGGCACCAAACTTGGGTCATAGATGCAACATTTTAACCTGTATGATAATGTTGTCAAAGGTCACAAACCAAGGGCAAAGGTCATCTGTCAAAGAAATTGAAAAGAAAACAGGCGAGACGCGTGGTTCGAGAACCACCTTGTTTATCATTTTTACCTACTAAAACATATGGGATAATTTTCTCCTTCCTAGGGTCTGATCTTTTGCTCCTCCGTCATCTTGTACTTTGGCTTGCTGAGTGCAGCCACACCCAACTTCACCTGGCTCCTGATCATGCGTGGCCTGGTTGGGTTTGGAATCGGTGGAGCCTCACAATCGTAAGCATCACGCTGGTCTTGTCTCCTTGCACACATGTAATGCAGTTTGTAGTAATTTTCTACTATTCAGTCGACTTTCGTTGAAGGTTGAGTAGATCATTTGTAGCTGACGAAATTGTTTTTGAAAGAGTTACTCGGTTCAAAGATTAAGACATGTTCAACGCATTTCTGCACAAATTCTTATTTACAAATACATTTTTGAATGTGTATTAGTTATTCTCAGATTATAAAACCTGGTAGTATTTTGCTTGAATGAGAATTGCTTATTTTACCATCATGTACGTGCCTGTTGCACTTTGTCCTTTCTTGTCACCAGTTTGTCCATGGATGTCAGAGGTTTGGCCACAAAAGAAATTTTCCATCGCTCTAACTATACAAGATGCCACTCATATGCAAAATTATAATGTAAACAAAAACAACTTTGAAAACAAAAACAACTTTGAAGTAATTGATCAGTTCAGACATGAGGCTAAATTTGTATCTCACTTTTGGATTAGGGGTTTTTTTTTGGTCACTTTTTCTTTTTCATTTTTTGTTTGCCTACAGAGTGACATTGTATTCAGAGTTCCTTCCCGGCAAGATTCGAGGCTTCTGCATTGTCTTCCTTGAGGTAGGCTTTTTGATGTCCAGACTGTTTTCTCCATTTTGTAAATGGACTTATGATGGAATTTTCTGTCAGGCTGATGTGAATTTCAGGGTTTTTTTTAGGATGAGGCAAATTCTCTCCCCCCCCCCCCCCCACTCAACATCCTCCTCCCATGTACACTTTGTTTCAGATATCACCACCGCGCAACTGTTTTCATACTACATGTACTAGGCCTTTATGAGGTTTTTACACATGTCTTGTGGACAATATGACACAAATTTGTTAAAAATCAGATGTAGCCTTCATTTAAAGGGAAAATACAACATTTGCAAACATCAAAAAATAGAACTACCAAATCATTTTGAAATACCTTGCTGGACTGTTAGTGAATGACAGTGTAAAGCATCCTGTAAAATCATGGCACCTGGTATACTGTCATTTTCAAGAAAAGTGGTATTTTTGTATCAATTTCCAACGCTGGTCGGCCGACCAGCATTGGAAAACAGCAATTTATTGACACCGGGGAATGGTAAGGTCAGGAAATCAGTCTAGCTGGATTGTACCCGTTCACAGGTGTGCAATCAATTGCGAAGAAAATGCGGACTAACTAAATATGATAAATTGGGAGCAGTATTAACAAAAAAAGCCAGTACCAGCGTTGGAAATTAAGTGATACAAAAATACCACTTTTCTTGAAAATGTCAGCACACCAGGTGCCATGACTTTACAGGATGCTTTAGACTGTCATTCACTTACAGTCCAGTCAAGTATTTCATAATAAATTGGTAGTTTTGGTTTTTAATGTTTGCAACTGTTGTATATCCCCCTTTAATAATGAAGTGCATAACACCTGGACTATGCTTCAGAAACTTTTTACATGTCATGTCTTCTCTTCATTTTCTCTGCAGGTTTTCTGGGTTTTAGGAGTGGTTTTCGAGGTGCTGCTGGGACTGATAGTCATGCCGACGCTAGGATGGAGATATCTACTTTTGTTTTCAGCATTTCCGTTGCTTTTATTTGTGATTTCATGTAAGGTGAGATGATCAGAAATTCATAGCAAGAAGTCATCAGTGTCCAACTTAGCTGTTTCCAGACGGGCCAGCCCGCAAATTTTGTTTTCCCAAACGACAAAAGCAAATGGGGTGTACACTATAAGGTTTTGGACTTTACTTTCCTAAAAACATGAGAACAAAATATATAAAAGAAAAAAAAAGCAATGAATTCGAACCTAATGAAATTCAGACTTTATTTCCCTTTTAGATAAATTCCTCCAGAGCTGCAAATTAGAAAAGAAAAAAAGTTGCAAAAATGTGGTTTTGAACTGACACCCTCCGATCTCAAAACCATGGCATTATCCAGCTGAAAAAAAAACGAAACCGAAATGGCCGGACTATTGTTTTATTGAATTTCTGCATGTAGCACTTTCAAAATCTAGGACATTAAAGCCCAATTCAAAAGCTTTCTTTTATTTCAAGAATCATTCAAATCACTAACACTGTATGTACTTTTCAACTTACGGAATTTTTAACGAAACCGTTTTAAAGTTCTGTCCACGGAACACAAAAAAAGGGTGTGTTCTTTCAGCAAAACGAAAACAATTCACACATATCCCTATGTGGTTTGTTTTTGTTTTTCTGTAAGAACATTGAACTTTGTTGTGATCCTTGGACAGAACCTTAAAACTGTGGTTGTGTTTAAAATTCCGTAACTTGAAAAGTACATGAAGTGATTCGAATGATTCTTGTACTAAAAGAAAGCTGATGAACTGGGCTTTCATATATTCATATAAAACAATGGTCCCAACATTTGGGTTTCGTTTTTTTTTTACTCGCCCTGTAGTGGCAGCCATGACCTACCAGACAAAGTATAGGCCTTCTATAGACACCCAATATGATGAGAGGCAACATCCTTTCATCTTCTGGGATATATGGCTTTATTTCTATTGTGTTTTTGTTTTTGTTTGGTTTTTGTCCAGTTCTTCCCCGAAAGTGCATATTACTACCTCGCCTGTGGTGATCGAGAGAAAGCGACCGAGATCCTGAAGCAAGTGGCTGATGGGAATGGCAAACCAATGCCCGCTGGCAGGCTGAAAATGGACGAAACAACGGTAAAGAGTCTATTAATGCTGTGTCTCTTTACAGCTAAGGCTATTCACCATAGAATGGCATTGGGAAAAACATATGCCTTAGCCACAAAAAAATGCTGATCCAGACGTTGCTTGACTTATTGGTTGACAGATTGGGGTATATCAGTGGCCCAAGAACGGAGAGGGTGGGGGGGGGGGGTGGAGTGGTGGAGTTGGGGTGGAGTGGGGGGATGGAGTGGCGGGGGGGGGGGGGGGGGAGGGGGAGGCCATGTAGAGTGGATTTCCACTTGTACATCTTAATGACCTCTTAGACTTTTTTAATCATCTGTAGACCGCTCACATTTTTTCGAATATTTGAATCGAAATAAATGCAATTGGGATATTCTTTGGATGATTGAATATTCCAATATTCCATGCATTCCGCACAGCCCTACCTACAGGAAACATGCCAGGGAATATAAGGAGAAGTCATTAGAGTGTTCTGGTTCAAATGAAGAGTTTATTTCCGAAACGCGACATATCCATTTGAAAAAAAGTGAAAAATTGGCACGGTTATGAAATTTTAAACAATAAAAACAGTATGACAGCTGTTTCTACAGTTCATTTTTCACTTTTCAGTATTCTTTTGCACTTTTTGTAATGGATTTTGGGCAAGCAGGAAAGAGAAAGATTCTTAAAGGTAACAAAACGGCAATTATCGTGTTTTGGAAATAGAGTCTTCAAATGAAAGATTTAAAATAATATAAACCTGTCAAAATGTTCACAGACCACAGACAGTTAAAAAGAATCCAGAGTCAAAAAAGGTTGCTTGACACTTACGTTTTATTTCCATGCAGACTCAGCGAGGGCGCTTTGCAGATTTATTTGCGACCAGGCAGACAGCAATAACTACAGGTTTACTCATTTTTATATGGTAAGCATTTTGTCTTCATTGCATGTACAGTACATTGCAATTGAAAGTTAACACTATGGGAAAGTTTGTGAAAAGAATTAGCATTCGCTTTCACACCCGCATTTCCCATTTTGTGAAAATGTTTTCAGACTTGTGTGAAAAGGCGTGAAATACTTTCCCACTGTGGGAAATTCTTTTCACAGTTTGTGAAATGAAATTGAATTCCCTGGTAAGAGAAAAAGTGTGAAGAGAATTTTTCCATTCCCAGGTTACATTTGAATTGCAATGTCCTGTATATTTAAGCACTGTACATATGATTTTTGATTTACTTAATGATCCTAATTCACTGTGTAGATCTACTCCGAACCAAAACATTACAAAGAGAAATTCATTATTTATTATTGAATGATTAACAATTTTCTTCATTTTTTAGCCTGAACTGCATGGACTATAATCTACTATATTGTACTATAATGTACTATAATCACGATAAGAATAATTTTATTCTTCCTTTGTCTGATTACTAGGTTTGTGAACGCCTTTGCGTATTATGGAGTTGTCTTACTTTCCACCGAACTTTTCTCTAAGAATTACAATTGTGATGGTAAGTATATATATCTGTGTTTAATGAAATTGTTATTGTTGACACTCAAATTCTCAACTTTACAATTATGCGTACGATTGCATTACAGCAAGGAAATTTTACTTCTTATTGTCAATAATATAAGAGCGTACAATACATGCTCTCTACGTTTGTGACCTGCTTCCATAAAACCTGGACAAAGTTGACATTTGTTTTAAGGTTTTGGCATTTTCAAATTTCTGAGTTTTTCAGCTTCAAAATGAAATATGATTTTCATAGGTGGTGAGACCTATCAAGTTTGGGAAGAGTATTAAGTGATAAAACCCTGACAACCCATATATGAGATACACGCAAGTATTGAAATGTTTTTTTGTTTAAATTTCTATACACATTTTTCCACTTAATTGACCAAAACAGCACATTTCTGCTTCATGGATTAAATTCATATTTTGGGAGGTTGTAGATTTATAGTTACTGATTCAGAAAATCTGAAAACCTCAAAATGGTCAGTTTCACCCCAAAATGACTTCACGTGCCCTTTGTGCAAAAATATCATCTGCAACTTTTTCCGGGTTTCGTGGGAGCATGTCTATTTATTCTGCAATTCTATGGGCTAACTGTTTATATTAAGCGGTACACAGAATATAATACAACGTAAGCTTGCACGGATCATGTTAAAACCAACAAAGATAAATGGAGTAAATAGCAAAATTTAATCCTACCCCGGGTAATTAGTAGTGCACAAATCTATTACATTTATTAATTTTTTTTTTTGTGTGCGGTTTTTAATAAGAAACATGATTATATACTGCTTAACTTGTCTTAAAGGTAGAATTGTCATTTCTGCATTTTTTTCTTTTGTTTGAAGCAGCAAAAGTGCTCAAAATCTAGACAGGTGCTAACCAACTAACCTGATGAATTTTTATCTCTGTGAATTCTGTGTATTCCGAGAAAAAATAAGTTCGAGGATCAATTTGCCAAGTCATAATTTGAATTGCGCCTGAAATCAGCATCCGGGACAAGTTCTCGTTCAGCCGATTGCAGCTATGCGATGTCAGGCACTGAACTGACGAGTAATAGCAACCACACGCGCATGTGGTCATGTCAACGCTTGTGGGCACCCATTCACGGATTCCCTCAATCGCAAACCAACTTCTAACCGAAATTTCCAAAAATATGTTATTTGTAACACATCTTTGGAAATGACCTTTTTTTATTGCTTTCGTAAAAAAGTGACAGCATGCCAGGAGATATAATTTCACAGAGAGTTTAGTGTTGTTAATACCTTTAAAACAAGTAAGCTTTTTAAAAGTAATTTGATCGGCTTCTTTTTGGATAACTGCAAATAATGTACGCTACCTTTAAATGTTTCTACATACATATTACTTGTTAGAATCTATTATATTCGTATATCTTATCTGGTAACAAAACTAAGCAAATCTAAGAACTACTGTATCTTAATATAAGTAAATATCCAAGAATCTTATAACATTCCTGCCTTCTTAAAAGAATAATAACATGCGAGTAACAAAAAAAAGGATTTTTATGAGTCAAAGTTTACAAATGATAAATACAGATGCTTCGGAACTGATTTTCAGTCATGAAATGTGCCTCTCAAAATGTTCTTCATCTTGAACTATTTTCTTTTAACCTTTGATAGGGTCAATCATACTCAAGGGGTTTCCTGTAAAACTTCTATGAGAATCTGACCAACAGACATTACAGATGAGAGTTTCTCCACCCAAAATATTACTTGAAGAATTTTCAACAATCTTATCAGATTCTTACTCTCACTTTTATCAGAATCTACATGTAAGATGTTATAAGATTTTTATAAGAATCCTGTAAGATTCTAAGTTAAAGTTGGTATATACATGCTTTTGGAGTGTGGCTTCACGAAAAACACATTTTCAAATTAAATTGATGATTTTCTATCATTACATTCGTTATAAGCTTTCCAATTTTTCTAAATGATTTCCAATGATTCACTAGATTTGAATATTAAAGGGAATATACATCATTTGCTTTTGCTTTAATTTTGGATGGAATTGGGGGTTGAAAATATATAGCAAATATAGTTACACTGACTTTTTTGAGGTTTTGGGTTCGAAAATGCTATGAAAACCAAGAAAAACAATCATTTTCCTGTAGTCTGGTTCCTTGACTCCATATAAGAAGAAACAGAGCAGTTTACATACATTGGGGAATTGTAAGGTCAGGGAACCAGTCAAGCTGGCTCGTACCCGTTCAAAGGTTTGTAATTGATTGCAAACAAGTGCGATGGTCAATTGGGGCTAGTATTTGAAAAAAAGCCAGTTTTTTCAAACGCTGATCGGCCGATCAGCGTTGGAAATTAATACAAAATACCACTTTTCTTGAAAATGACAGTATACCAGGTGCCATGATTTTACAGGATGCTTTATACTGTCATTCACTAACAGTCCAGCAAGGTATTTCAACATGATTTGGTAGTTTTATTTTTGATGTTTGCAAATGTTGTATTTTCCCTTTAAAAGAGTTTCGCTCAAAACGTTCTGAACTGCATGGAGCACACTGTTGAGTGTGTAAATCCACTTTTTAAAACTGTATTTAAGGCCTGCAAATGCAAACAAGCAAATTTATTTGTTAGAGGACATTATGTTCCTTCAAACTTCGTTTAAAAAAGAAATTTGAAATTTTGCAAAAAGCATGTATATATACATGTACCAACTTTAAAATTAAATGGATGATTGGTTTCCAAGTTTGCATTATTGATCTATACATGACCATTTATACATTTGTAACTTGTTTAATCATTTATACGTTTGTAACGTTCTCCCCCCCCCCCCCCAGCCACCAGTGATGCAGTTGAGACAACCGAAACATGTTTTGATGACTGTCAAACGCTTCAGACCAGTGACTACGCATCGCTACTTATTACTACATTTGCTGAATTCCCAGGTAAATTAAATGCAAAAGCTTGGAAAAAGTTTGTTTTAATTTGTAATATTTACAATTCTCGATTGAAGTTAAACACTATGTCAAGTCTACAGATGGTCTGTACAAGTAATTGTTGAAATTGATAAAGGCGAGTAACATAAATTAATTTGTAAATCTCTTTGCAAAAGCATATATGAAAAGTTTTAAAAAAAATTTAATACAGTATATAATATTTATCATTAATAAACTCCAGATTAAATATTGCTTTAATAATATAAAATCACCAATTTGGGTGTTTCACATTGCAATGCGCCCCCAAGACGTTGCCAAGGAGAGTCAAGTTTTTCCAGTGCATTGTGGGAGATGGTCAGCAAATTCGCAGCGTGGGCTATTTGAAATTGTTAGTTTGTCCGGCCGGTAGTTTCTTGTTAAGCGTATGATTTAAGTATCTGTTTGCCTTTTATCTCTTCTTTTTATCAATATGGTTTTTTTTTTGTAAGGCAGCAGAACGCTATGCGCCAATCTATAACAAATTAGCTCAAGTTGTCTACTGACACTCGTTAAAATGGGCCGTGTTTTGTCAACCGCAAACTTGAATGATGGACTCCCCGTGGCAAACTCTTGGTGGCGCACTGCATTGTGAAATGCCCGAATTAAAGAAGCTGGTTAACTTTCCTCTAAGCTAATGTTAATCTACTGCTTAAAAATGTAGACTACTTATAATTCATTTGTAAAAACTTTTTTTTTTCTGATTGAATTATTTTTGCAGGGATTGTGATCACGTTAATCGTGATTGAGTTTCTAGGTCGTAAGAAGACCATGGCCATCCAGTTCCTGCTCTGTTCTGTCTTCATATTCCTTCTCAATATCTGCGCTTCGAGGTTAGAATAATCAGAGATGGCCTCTGTTCCCATAGGTTTTTTTTTTTATAAATTTGGGGTGTCCCCTTTTTTTCTCTGTCCCTGTAGTGTTATACTGACTGTGATTTCATAATTCTGACATAGTACAGCAGAGAGGTGATGAGATTGTTCATTTGATGATACAAGTCTGGCATTTGGCACGCTGTCAGAGTATATCATGAGAAATATGTTCGGCTAAAAATATAGGGTAGAATAACAAGCAATGGCAGCCATTTTGAAAATTGCTTGTTATTCTACCGATATTTTTCAAAGGACTAATCTGCGATGGCCCTATACCCAAATATCTTTCTCATGACATACTCTGAATGTGTGCCAAATGCCATGCTTGTATCATCAAAGTGAACAACCCCCCCCAAATGTTTTCCCCATCTGCTCCACTAATGTACTCCTTAATGCAGTCAGTCTCCAAGAGTGATTACGAATAGCAAACTACTACCCAACAGATAATAAAAAATCATTTGAAATCATTCTTATTGACACTTTAATGGCAAATTACAAAGTACCAAGATAACAGGCACAGGTTAAATGTCACACTGAATCCTGTATTCCCAAAAAAAGTTCCTCTGGAGGGTGTACAGAATTCTCGTAATTTATGAAAATTCTCGAATTGATGAGCCCAAACATTTGTCTTTCTTGTGTCAAATTTTTGTTGGATTCGGTTTAGTGGTTTTGAAACGAAGCCATTATGTAACCAGTCCATTTTGCTCCATTTCTTGATTGACAACACATACGTGTTTATCAGATTGTACACATTGGTACATTGATGAGTACAGTCATGACAGTGATCAGTGATCACTCGCCTGCATTCATCTGTACAGAAACTTCAACCCATGCTGTCACGCAGCGCCTTGCATGTTAGTGTACATGTACACATATGCATGACATGAAGAATGCTCAATGTGACATCGTTCAGTATTCCTGAATTGGAGTACAGTCACATTATTACTTGAAGACACAACAATCTTGACATCTATAGATTATGTTTGTGAAGTAACTATATACATACATGATCACATTTTCCCCAGATTCAACACGTGGCACTTTTGCCTGTTTCAGTCAACCGTTTCTAGAATTAAAAAATACATTAAAAATCGTGTTACATCATCACACCTACATGACCTAGTGATTACTGCTATTTTACACTTTGTACAGGACGGGCTTGACGATCATTTTGTTCGTAGCGAGAGCCCTCATCTCTGGTGGATTCCAAGCTCTTTATGTCTACACACCGGAGGTAAGCAATAGTGTCGGAGTCCAGTCTGTCATAACTCCAGCCACAAGTCGAATTACAAGTGAATCACAAGTCAGTGCACAAAGTCCAGTGACAAATACGAGAGGATGAACAATAACGTTGGAGTTGAGCCTTTGAGTTGACTTGGGACTGCATGACTTGGGACGGGACGGGACTTGTGATGGACTTGTGATGGACTTGTGATGGACTTGTGATGGCCTTGTGATGGATTTGTGATGGATTTGACAATGATACCGCTGTGTTCTACTAACCAGGAACATTACATGTTTGAATTCTGCCTGAGCCTCTGTGAATGTTACCGGAGGTAACAAGTCAGTGCACTACTCTTTACATTTCCATAAAGTAGTAATCATGCAATGCTTATCATAAGATTGAAGTCAGTGGAGAACAAAACCATTGATATCAATAGTTAACCAAAGACAACATCTCTTGTCATGCTTGTGTTCGTTAGTTCTTAAGAAACTTGATTGGTACAGTATCTCAGGTTTTGCTTATTTCTTTGACAGTTAAAAATAATGATAAGTGGAGGTTACTTATGAGGGTTAAATGACACCAAAGAACAGAGAATTATACAATAAAAGCAGGGGAAAAATCTTTGCTCAGTTCATTGAGTCCCTCCGACCTGGTCATATGGTGGAACATACAGTGGTTGTGTCCTTGGGCTTGACACTGTACTGTCATTACCCTTCCATTTCGCCCAGGAGGATATGAAAATCATGTGCACTGTCAAAGTTTGTGTTTTTGTTCCAAACTGTTAGCCTCCCTGGCAGTGTTATCTCTATGGAGAATTAATGACGATGTGCCATCAGGCACCACTCTCTGAATGAGGATTTGAAGAACGCTGAGTTCATTGTATGAAATGTTCCTCCGTGTTTTTGCTGCAGGTATATCCTACCCACGTCCGCGCCATCGGTCTTGGTTCCTGTAGCTCGGCAGCACGGATAGGAGCCATCACCACGCCATTCGTTGCACAGGTAAGGCAACAACTATGCTATGCTTCAGATGGATTGACATTCAGTCTCACTGAAATGGGTTGGGGATTGGGGAATTTGTTGATGTTAACCTTTAAAGCAGTACAACCAATCAGACTACTCTCTCACTTGACTTTCAGGTCCGAAATTGTTGAGATTACCTCTTGAAAGGTGGTGAACACTACTTGTTAACATTCAAAAATAATATATACTACTTGATTGGAAGTGAATAGTAGGATCATTCTGTGCAATCACAGCACCTAGTATGCTTTCATTTTCAAGACGATAATTACCATCATTTCCTGGTGATGGTTTGGGAACAAAATGTCATGAGAAAAACAGCGGCCATTTACTCAAGTACTGGCTGAAATTGACAGAATTTTGTTTAATTTTGTGTTTAGTTTTTGTTAAGGTAGCGTATCTGTAAATGAGGATTATTTTCCCGAACGAAAACCTTGCTTTGGGTAGAGAACAATGAAGATGCATTTTCACAGTTTTGACATGCTATTTCTTTCATAACCTGGTTCAGATTTTGTGTATTGTTGATCTTTGAATCAGCAAAAATATATACATATTTTTGCAAATGGTGTCCATTACCTTTACAAATGGAACTAATTCGCTTATTTAGACTGAATTAAAACCAATGTGCTTTGATGTTTGAGATGGCATATTGCTCGTCTTCCCCAGCGGGTGCAATTTTTGGCTGAAAAATTGGTTATCACAAGCGAAGTGTTACTTGCTTGTTTTGTTGGATTATTACTGTTCAATTTAAGATCATTTTTGCCCAGATGAAACAAGTCTATATCACTGCTGTAGATCCCAACCTCTTTGTTTATACACGTTGAAAGAACTTCACAGCATCTTTAGCAGCCACCGCCAGTGTGGTCTCATCTTTTATCAGTGTCATGCCATACACCGTGCTGCATCGTTCGATAATACAATCCATGTAGATGCCATCGGGGCTGTATCGCTGAATCTGGCCAGGGGAGGGCCATTTGCCACAAACAGCCACGTAGATACAGCCTTGGCTATTGCAGCACAAACCAGTAGGGCCCCACCAACTCGCCGGGCTCTTGACATCGGTACAGAACACCTTCTCACCATCGTAGTTGACTGCCAGTAACTTCTTTCTGGCCTGGTTGGTGTATATCAGCCGTTGTTGGTAGATGGTCATGTGATTGCCGATCATCGGAGCGGGCAGTCTGTTGACTAGGGAGCCGTCTGGGCTGTGTAGAGATATCTCTTGATTCTCCTCGTAGCCAAGTGCTATCAGGCTGTTATCATCTGTAGCAAGGCAGGTTGGTTTGCTGTCCGATTCTGGTGTGAATTCATGGAGAACCTTGTCTTCCTTGCTGCGTATATTGATTTCACCACTATATAAGATGACAGCCTGGTCATCTTTGTTCACTGCAACATGGTGAGCGTACGAGTCATAACTTTCAACGTTAGAGGTGAAAGATAACTGACCATCATCAGTTGGAGTACTCTTCATCAGCTGATCATCTGTAACATGTGCTGTGAGCAGTTGATTGTCAGAGAAGGCTGATACACTGAATGCATTTGTAATACCACATTCCCAATGTCCATCAATCCATCTCTTTATTTCTGTCGTACATTGTTCCCACTTCTCTCTCTGATGTTGGACGCGATTGTGAAGCATGTCTGTTGCCTCTGCAGCCAATGCCTTTTCATCAAGCACTAACCTTCTGAGCGGCTCCTCACATTCCGCAAAGTCCAGGGAGGACAAAATGTCCCCAGGCACCATGGCCGGCTGCTTCTGCTTCAGAGCCTGGATGCTCTTCAAGAAGCTCTTCTTGAGATCTGGAGCTTCAAAGCGACTTGCCTGAGCTGTGCATTGACTCAGCGTACGTTGCACTTGCTGTACCTCAACAACTTGTTGTTTGTTTTGAGCTTGTGCTGTGTCCAAGGTCCTGACTCGGTCTTGGTAGATCGTCATCGCCTCTTGCTTCAGCTTCTTCTCCTCTGCTCTGATCTTGGCAACCTCCTCCTCAGCCCTCTCAGAGATCTTCTTGTTTGTCTTTTCAAATATGCTGTCCAGTTTCTTTTGAGACTTGTCTGCCTCAAGTATGGTCATGTTGAATTCTGCTGTGGTCTTGTTGGCCACAGCCTTCAGTTCTTTATCATATTGCTTGCAATCATCTAAAACCTCTTCCAGGCTGATGATAGAATGCTCATTATGAGCGTGACCAACTTTAGAGCATATTTGACACACTGCTTTTCCACATGTATTACAGTAGGCAATAATTTGCTTACGTGCGTGGCTCCGACATTTTGGAATATCTGTCTGCTTGATGCTATGCCTGGTCTGTGTCCCTGATGAAGGAGACTGATCTAGCATGTGTATTCTGTGAGATGTCATCACTGTCAATTGTCCATGAGCCCACTGGCATTCTTGACAGAGAAGATGTTTACAGTCCAGACATCTTGAAATTGCTTGATTATTCTTGTCGCAGGCTTGGCAGGTACTCTCTGAACTCTGACCTTTCCTTAGCTGTCCCCATATCGGTGTGACCCCGGGCTTCAAGGAGACACTTGGTAGTGAGCCATCAGGTACCGGTAGGTCGGCAACCCTTCTTCCTGCAAAGCTGGTCACACATCTGCACACGGGACACGGAAGACAGACTCCTTCTGGATCTTGTCTCTGCAGTTCTTCGAGGCATTTCAGGCAGAATGTGTGCTGGCAGTCAAGGACTCTGGGCTGCCTGATACCATCCTGGCAGATTGGACAAGCCTGAGGTTGAGCTGATGCCATATTTATCTCCCTCTCATTGACTTGTACCAAAAATTGATCTGTGTAAAGTACAATAACAAATTTCAAATAACAAACCCCCCAGAATATCCTATTGGAGTTCCTCTATGTGGCATACTACATTTCCCCTGGGTTTCCTCATGCAATTTTGCTTAATCTCTTTCTTGACAAGCTTCAAATTCATTCAGTTCTGATATTTCCTCAGTAATGCTTGCTGTTGAATCCTTGTGAACAAGTTTAGACTCAAAATTTTTGTCCGAAATTCAAAAACGTTGGCATCTCAAAATTGGGCACAGAATGTGTTTATAGCTGACAAATTGCAATAAACCATTCCATTTAATATTTCCACTCACATATATATCCAAATACGTGTCCATATGTTTTTTAGAAAATATTTTCTTAATTTTGGGCTCATTTAAAAGGGTGACTTTCAAGGTTCACTACGCACTTCAAAACAACATTAGAAAATCACGCTATGTACATGTATCTATGCTTAGTATGTCAGCAAAATCTGAAATAAGCAAAACATTCTGTGATTATGTCATCTTTAATAATTTACAATGTAGTCAGATAAACCACATGGGAGAACCTTTTAATATTTTATATAGTTGTAATTTCCACACACATGGCATGTAATTTGTCATCCTTTTTGTGTGGTGTTTAAATAGCGCTTTCCACCAAAGGTATAAAAGGGCTTTTCAATTATTACTCCAGTTCAAAATCAGGCCATCAGACCACTTTTGAGACAGGTCTGGTAAATGTATTTTATTTATTTATTTTTATTTTTAAGCTCTGCCCTTCGCTAAGTCTGCTTTGACTTTCTACACTCCGTTCATACCGTTTCATAGATACAAGTTTTTTTCCTGGTTTTTCCTGCTGTACATGTACATTCACATTCCCAGGCTTGCCAAGCATGTCTTTTATACTTTCAACATTTAAAATATCAACTACATGTAGTCCCCAATAAATTTTAAAAAAAGTTGTTGCAAGTAAACTCTGATCTTACTTGTAATTTTCGACAACTGATGTCTTCTGCTCCTTCGCGAACGAAACATTTAGCTGAGTTTGCCTTCTTGCGTGTATTTGTTGTGGAAGTATTTCTTGAGGAAGTGACACGTATAAAAAATTGCGCAGTATTTATTCCAACTGAAATTTGCCTATTGAACTTCACCAGTCATGCAAACTCTTGACTCGTCCACACTCCAGTAAGGATTTCATTCAGATTGCTTTTCTTTGCAGTGGATCAGGGTGTCAGCAGGGCAAACAACAATGTCTAGACTAGGCAGGTTTGTGGTACATTGTACATGTATTGAAAAGCGGAAAAACAGTTTTCCTTCTTTTCATATGCAAATTTTTAGGGTGTTGTCACATTTGCAGATTTTTTATACATGTACATGTAAATACATTCTACATGTATAAAGATTTGATTTGCTTATGTTTGTTGGGTCAATGGCAGCCCAGACTTGAGAATACATGTACCGGTAACTGGCTTTTTGTAATGGAGTACTTTGGATGTATCTTGACGAGAAAATTGACCATGTTATGACAGCTGAATTTTACAGTAGGGATATAATTCTTTTATCACTTTTTTTCAGGATAATTGCAGCCAGTTATGAACTGTAGGCCTTTGCAAATGATTAAAAAAATATAAAAGAAGAAGACAAAAAGAACTGACCAGAAAAAAAAACCTCCAAAAAATATATGCCCCCCCCCCCCTTAAAAAAACAAAACGCACCCATTTTTTTTAAAAAGTGACATTGCAATAAAGGCAGGCACTGCCATCTCTCCCCCCCCCCAAAAAAGATTAAAGTCTAAAGTAAGCATCTAGAAAGTAAACCAAAAACTTTTCAGGCCCCTTAAGCTGGCCCCGAACCCCACACCGATTTGTCGGACCCACTTTTTAGGGGTCCAACTTTTTGTTTGCCCCCCCCCCCCCCCCAAAAAAAATGTGTTCTGGATCCGCCCTTCATGTATCAACCTTCACTAAAGCAACTGAGAATGGGAGAGAGATTGGCCTTTTTTTCTGAGGGTGAGGCCTATACCTTGAAAACATCTTGAAGTTGGGAGCAAGAAATTGTATTCACAAAAAATATTGCATAGAGGTTAGGGCTGTGCATTGGAACCGGTAATCTGAATACCCAACCATTGATGTCAGAGTCAGTCACCGAACAACCTGTTATGGTTATCATAAAATGAACTCCAATACAGAATTGATTTCAAAATACATACTATT